CGGGCTTGCTACACAATAATAACAAATGCAACCAAAAAAAAAAAAAATAGCCAGGTGTTATGGCAGGCACCTGTAGTCCCAGCTACTTGGGAGGCAGGGGCAGGAGAATCGCTTGAGCCCAAGAGTTAGAGGTTGCTGTGAGCTGTGATGCCACAGCACTCTACCCAGGGAACAGCTTTAGGCTCTGTCTCAAAAAAAAAAAAAAAAGCTGAGTGTGCAGCACCTGTGGGTCAAAGGAGTAGGGCACAGGCCCCACTTACCGGAGGTGGTGGGTTCAAACCCAGACCTAGCCAAAAACTGCAAAAAAAAAAAAAAAAAAAAGCTGGGCATTGTGGCAGGCGCCTGTGGTCCCAGCTGCTCCAGAGGCTGAGGCAAAGGAATCACCTAAGCCCAGAAGTTGGAGGTTGCTGTGAGCTGTGTGATGCCATGGCGTTCTACTGTGGGTGATAAAGTGAAACTCTGTCTCTACAAAATAAATAAATAAATAAATAAATAAATAAAAGAAAAAAAAGAAACAAAAGTCAAAGCTCCCTTATGGAGCTTTGGGAGAGCAGGTCACTGGTTTGCACATTTTGCTGTTGTGCAGCCCGTAGGCTGCCGAGTGCAGGGAGAAGGGGACTGGGCAGGAGGGCAGGGTGCATTCCCACGTAACCAAAATATCTACTTTATATATTACATTTCCAAGTATGATTTCCTTTTTTTTTCCTCCCCCAGGAAGGGTCTTGCTATGTTGCTGAGGCTGGACAGTGGTGGGAACGCAGCTTACTGCAGCCTTAAACTCCTGACCTAGTGATCCTCCTACCTCAGCTTCCCAATTACTTGGGACTACAGGCATGTGCCACCATCATCAGCTAAATTTTGCATTTTGTGTAGAGATGGGGGTCTCGCTATGTTATCCCAGACTAACCTTGAACTCCTAGACTCAAGTGATCCTCCCACTTCGGTTTCTCAAAGTGCTGGGGTTACAGCATAAGATACCACACCTGGCCTCAAGTTTGATTTCTTTTAAAAGAGGGTCTATAGTGGTACTAAAGAAAGGTTAAAATAGTGTTGTTTTCATATATTCCTCCTTTCAAGAACAATTTCTTGTTTAAGTCATCTGGGAAAGAAATGATTCTATAATTTATTGCACCCCTCCTATGACTTAAGTTACCGTGTTTCCCTGAAAATAAGACCTTCTCAAAAAATAAGCCCTACCCTGATTGATAATTTAGACCTAGTGATGGGTGTGGTTATGCATTTTGAGGGGAGCAGTAAGGAAGACTGGAATACCTTTTATCTGCCACAACTCCTTTCTCCCTTTCTCTGAGCTGTTAGCACTTGCGTGGATGCGCATGTGATAACCACGGTCACAGGCATCCTACTGTGCATGTGTGAATGGCTAGGGGAAAGGAATTCAAGTATCACTAGCACCAGCCCCACCAACAAGGAAGGTCGGCTCCCCCGTCAGGTTTCAGAAGAAGATGACTTAACTGTATTTGAATAAATGTAGATTGTTGTATTATGCTTAATAAAAATAAGACATCCCGGGTGGTGCCTGTGGCTCAAAGGAGTAGGGCTCCGGCCTCATATGCCGGAGGTGGCAGGTTCAAACCCAGCTCCAGCCAAAAACTG